TTATTTATATTCGTATAGCAACGAGCAACACATAAAAATCAGTGACAAGGTAACCACATTGAGCGACTAAACTAGTACTTACATGCACATCACCCCAATAACCAAAAGCGCATGGGTAGACCGACAACGGTAGATACTCTTACACTATCAACGCCTTACTTTGAAAAATGGCCGGGATGGTATCGACTTGTTTGAAGACTAGCTTGAGCTGGGTGGGTCTGAGATGATCATGACGGTGTTTGAGTATGTCAGAGATGAAGCGTTCAGATTAGTTGGGAATGTACAGAAATGCACAGACTTACGTATACTAAAGTGTATAGTCGCACCTACACTATCACGAACTCAAAGACACGTGCACATACACAGACTACTAACTATTGCATATGCAAACACACATATTGTGAAGATACTCAGCTATTCAAAGGCGGCGAGTGATGTGTCCAAAAAGCAAAAGTAAAAACAAAAAGGAATGTACATCACGGCTCGTACTATAAGTAAGTAGTCATGTACTTCGTGAGTACGCACATATGTATATCCGCTGATAAACAAGTCCAACAGCCTACAGTCACACATGAAGAGTATGTGCACGTGCATGTATATAACTCTTTAAAGTACAGTCACAAGCTTATATACAGATGAGTCCATGTACAAACCACCCACGCGCAGAAGTTTATACATACATATATATATATATATATATATGTATATATAGACGAAGACAACATTCACATATGAATGCATATCATGTACCTCTATAGATCATTCATACAGACATACCAAGCCTACATATTAATAAAAAACATACACATGTCTGATTATATGAAGCTCCACGAATATTACAAAACAATAAAAAATATATTCACTTCACTATTGTCTGCATACTAGCATTCATCATTGGGAAACCAGACTTACATACTTAGTCAAATCTTTCAGCGCGTCTTTAATGCGATATGCTATTTGTTCTGTGTATTGGGCTGTGTGCATGAACGACCACCCATGTGTGATGTCCAGGATACATTCCACATTTGCTCCGTTGTCATCCTCTATCATCTGTGTAAAGCATAACAAATAAAGTACAGTGTTCACACAGTGCCTATGTGTGGTATGTATGAGCGTACTTTAAGTGTCGACAAGTATGAGCGTACTTTAAGTGTCGACAAGTATGCCCGTGCATGGAAATACATATAAACTAGCACAAAGCCGTGGCATTGGTATGTAAACCAGAAAGCGCAATCACAAATACATAACGCACTGGCGTGTGTTAGCGTGTTCAATTACGAGCTGAAACTCCTACACCCTAGGACAGATGCGAGCCAACAGGAATATACACTAGTCCTGATACGAGCCTATACATTTCGAAGGCAGAGAATACGTTCAGTACTCGCTTTGGGTGTATCCATCAAAGGTAACGCCCACTGTTTGCACATACCGTTTGCGCGTACCGTTTGTACATACCGTTTGCGTATACCGTTTGTACCTACTGTTTACGTGTACCGTTTGTACATACTGTTTGCGTGTACCGTTTGTACATACCATTTGCGCATGCCGTTTGCACATACCTTTTGTATATACACCAACGGCAGGGAGTATTCTTCGTACAGGTCCTTGAGTGTTAGACATCCGTTGGCATGCAGCAGTGTGTTGATCGCTAGTAACATGCTTTTAGCGTAAGCCCTTTCACGAGTCGGCAGCCGGTGGTGTGTGAGTCAAAGGTGTGGTGTGGTGTTGAGTGAATACTCTCGAACTGGGGGCGAGCTTGTAGCACAGGGGTAGTATTGAGTTGTTATGCTGACAATAATATTTGTCTGTGGTGGATGCGAGTTTAGGATCAAATTCCGGGTGCATATTTCCGAAGTGTGTATGCTTTCGTATAACACGACCACGGGCGACTATGTACTTGTAAGATGATTATGAGTGTAAAAATTTATATCGATAGGCAGTGCAGGCTTTCGGCGTGGTGCTGAGTATGTCGGTTCAAAATCTAGGTCCGCGTACGGGTATAACATACTGGAGATAATGTGCGCGTTTCCGGTGGATAGGGTTCACAATCTCTACAGTGAAGAATAATGAGGACATGTAGTTCGGCAATAGTGCAATGGGTTCACATTGTTGTGCCAGTATACATCAGATAATGAGGGCGGCATATATATATATAGATATATATATATATAAACATAAACATATACATATACATATACATATATAAA